TGTTATATTATCGGTGCAATTCAAAGTGTGTAAAAGGGAATAAATTAAAAGCACATTGCTCTATTCATTTTTACAATTTATTACACAGGGTGATGGTACGTAATTAAACCAGTCTAGAACTATTAAAAAAAAACTAATTCAGTCTCGCAGCAAAGTTTTTCTGTAGCAAAATAAATTTGCGATGTTGATTAATAGTGCCATTAGAATTAAAACGTTCCCATAAATGTACTAACAGTACATTCCCTAGGCAGGATGCATTTAAAATGGAAACTGCTGGTATTTTTTTTTATACAAAACTGTTGATTTTTCCAGGCCAAGGAGCTTGCGGGGCTCGTTGACTTGGAAAGCATCGGTCTGTGCGCTCGATTTGCACCACAAATTGATTTTTATGTCGAACGGAGGCATGCTGGTTGTTTGTTTGTCACTGGGGAGATGCAACGATTAATCCTTGGTTTTTATTTGATACTGCTACTGATTTATTGCGTCTATAAATATGTTATTAAAGTCTATCTTATGGATTTTGCTACTATTACCGTATCCGTAGAGAGTCTTAAATCTTAAGTAAAAATACTTGTTGCTATTTTGTGCAATTATAAATTTTATGTCAGCCGGTGACTACGGCTGGTGTAAACTGGGGGTCAATTCTACTAAATAAATTTTGTTTAAGTCGAATCGAAAATACCAGTTCTGTTTAACTGGAATTGTATCGTATGTCACTTAGTAGAATAGAAAAACCATTAAAAACTGTAGTTTCGTTCGGGTTCGATCCGTTTTCGATTCGATTTAAACAAAATTTATTTAGGTGAATTGGCCCCCTGGTCGAAACGTCGGGAAATCCAAACTATCCAAATCTATCGCGTTAATATCCGTCTTTTACAATCTAATATAATGCAACGCGAAAGTTTAAAAGTTTAGACAGAGTGTTTATTTAGAAATATCTATCGATGTTTATGGCGCATAAACATTTGTTAGAAAGAAATCTGTTATCCGATTAGGCCACTTAAAATAATACTATAAAATATGCAAAGTCTAAAATATAAGATTACTGGCTCAGTTTCAGACGTGGTTGACACGCTGGTTTACAATGTTATATTTTGTAAGGTTTTGTTTGTGTTGCATATTATCTAAATAATTTTCTAAGTTTCAAAATTTTAGTTTACATTTATAACAAGAATGATTTAAATACTCGTTGTCAAAGCGATGGTTGTAATATGGTTACCCAATTATATATTTGTCTACTTGGATTTAAAATGTAATATTTTCATAAGGGAATAGAGAAAAATTTCATTTTGTCTAATAATTTTTAAGAGCCCTATTACAAATACAAACGAACTCGCTACACGGCCGAACAAACTGAGTTCGATGACTAGTGCATCGCATTATGTAGGATATTCTGCAGTTAAAATTTATCGTTCTTATTGAATAGGATACATTTGGACTTATGAAGTTATAATTATTCTGGTACAAATTTTGTTCAATAACATTATCGTACGTAGGAGATATTCACAGTTAACTTAAAGCTATTTTCGAAGTTATATAGTATTTGTGTCTATTTACTAAAGTATTTCAAATTTTCGAAGCCCCTACTAATTATACGACTGTATAAGTTATACATGCTATGAGTAATAAGTAATCACATTCTATTTTTTTTTCATTTGTTTAGACCTGTAGCTCAATCCAGGAGCTTAAAAATCGTCGAGAATATGAAACATCTTTCACTACAATTTTGAATTTAATTAAAAACTTAAGCACAATTTACTAAATCCGAAGCCGCTACGAATTATGCAATTAGTTGTTCAGAACTATTCAGTAAGTTAAAATTATTTATATTTTTTTTAATTCCGAGATCGAGAACGCCATTTTACGCAAAATCATAGTCGAAATGTATGAAGGTCTTTGTGGTTTTACTCGACACAAAATATGCGACCAAGCTTTTGCATAGGTACCTTCGCAATTCTAACGCGTCTCAAATACTCACGACGTGCATACATGTAGTAACAAAGCATTTACAGCCTAAGCTGTATCGTCGAGTTCCTTTTCATGAAGTAGAACCGTAGTTCGTGTTTCCTGGGGTCTGTGCACCGTATAATCGCAGCTCTTTTGCGCCTTACCTTCTCTCGCTTACAAAGAAAATCAAAGCTTTGCTCTCACTTTGCAGTAGGCACTAAAAAAGCAGGCGCTTATGCGCGTATAGTTTGATAACTGACTACATTCCATTTAAGTACTTACATCATTTTAAAGCTTGTTATTTTCTAGCTTTTGACTACAACTTCCTCTGCGTAATATTAGTATTTCCAGACTAATTTAAACACATTTCAAAATAGAAGTACTTACTTTTAGTACATATGTAATGTAATACAATATTTTCACAGTGTACTGAATCTGATTTTTTTTTTGTTTTTAAAAAGAGTATTCTACGAAACGGTCCTATTATAATCATATTTAAATGTTATAGAAATTGGATTAGTATTTTGTTTTTAATATGAAAGAATTGGAGAGGAATTACATTATCACAATTATCTTGACAATGGCGTTGTTACTAAGAAAAATAGAAAAAAATATAAATCGACTTTAAAAAATCGAAAAGTCAAATAGGGTAATTAAAACTTAACCATCAAATCTTTGCCTGAATCCAAATGACGTTTATTAAATTGGTAACCGTCTTTGTATTTTTATGAATTATTATCGCATTTTTAAAAGTGTCTTAATTCTTTCATGAGCTTCCTTTTTTTATAGCCCAATTAGTGTTTTATAAAAACCTATATGTTTTGCGCGAAGAAGCTACAAATTAACGTATTTATTCTATTTTTATTATCATCGGAAAACTTACAGCTAGTTAATATTATCTATGGAATATTTGTTATATCTAAACCAAAAAAAAAAAACCAGTCGACAGCTAAAAACAACAAAGATAAAATTACAGTGGGTTAACATTTAAGATTAAGCATTACTTTATATTAGACTATTTTATACTTCCTTATGGCTCGAGAAATGAAAAGTCAAAATTATATGTCAAAAAAAACTTTCAAGTTTAACTGAAAAGCTTTCAAGTTTAATCAGATCAATATTAGGAAGATACATATTTACGTTATTTTTACAGTACCTAACGTTGCCTATGGGATTTATACGCAACAATCTGATACCATAACAGGTATCTGTCGTGGGCCTCCCTCTGGGACCATAACATATTGTCGGGAATATTTTTCGGCGTGACCCAGCGCCATGTCATATCCGGTGCCGCCGGAATCGGAAGGCCAATAAATCATTAACCATTGTCGCTTGGAGGCAATTGACGTTGATTTTTCACCTACAAGAATAGCCCCCATCGTTCATTTTCTTATTGAGTTTTTATCACCTACTGATGTCACTTCAACATCAGTATGTGATAAACTTGTATGAATTAACATGACATAGCCTATTCTATTTGTCCTCGAACAAAAATACGAAAAACTTTATATCATTCTTATAATTTTGCATATCCATAAAGATTATCTGTGTATCAGAGGCAACAGAGCAGAGCATATATCTGTAAGATAAATATGAATATAATAGCACTGTCAATGCAAAACGACAATGGTTTTGTGCAATCAAAATATGAATTAAAAACTTTTTGGAAAGAAAAAACAGAAAATTACTTTCTAATAAAATAGTTAATAACATCAAGTTATCTGTTTAATCAACGCATTTTGGTTTTAGTCGTATAATCTATCTGTAATTAAACATTATTCCTTTATAAATGTATATGTTGTACAACAATCGACATCAAATAGATAGCATGGATCCCAAATTACAACTAAGGCCCTATTTTGAATATACAAAAACACAACAAAAAGAAACTATTATAACGCCCAGACCCAAATAAAAAAAAATCATTTACTATATTGACTCAACCAGGAATCGAACCAGACCTCAGAGAAGGCGACGTTTCGAAACCAGGATACATGCCATGGATATGATTTATGGATTCCGCATGATTAAATTGTGAGGTCGGAGTTAGGTATAGTTATTTTCGCTATTTTCAGAAGTACAATAGGTACTTCTGAAAATAGCAAAAATATCTTAGTTTCATGTTATATAAGAAATGAAATGAAACAGCATAGTTCATTATTATAAAAATTGTGATATAATCTTTGTTAAACTATGAATATTTAACTGTACAAAATACACGGTATATCTAATTTACATTTAATATTATTTAACAAAACGATAATACAAAATCATATTAAATACATATAAAACATTACTCGATGGCGGGCGAAGACCTATCATTTGTTAACGTCTTCCGTAGTTTAACCGTTGCAAACTGCTGCGGCCTGTATGCGGTTAAAAATATAAATTTAAAATAACAAGTACGTAATAAAATTAAAAACTTATAGTTCTTCTAGAGCAGGAATTCTCAAACTATTTTAGGGGCCCCTTTCTAAAAGAAAATGATAACTCATACTCCCTTTACACTTTAACATATTTAGGCGTTTAACTAATACGGTATCTTGAAAGTTTTAAATAAAAACTTGTGTTTATTAAGAAGGAAATTTTTAGACCTGGTTGAGAATCAATTTCCAATTTTGTCGACCCGGATTGGGTATCCAATGTCGACAAGTTTAGGAATCCCTGCTCCTGATAATTTCTTGGTAAAAATACATGCAAGTCCTTATTTATTTGGTTATTTGAAATGTCACTTAAAAAGATATCAATTATAGAGATTTTCCAATAATGCAATATTTAGACATCCAATTACTTAATTCCGAAACTTTACAATTCTATCATAGAAACAAACAAATCTTATAACGTCTGATGGTATTAGCGGTAAGGTAACAATTTTAACAAGTGATAATAAGTATTTACAGATTTGTCTTACTTCCATCTAGTATAATTGAAATCATAAAGACTAAAATTAGCAATACACTGTAATAATGAATAACAACATGCTTTGACTAATATCTAAGATGTAACATAATATAATTGATGAACAATAATTGTAACAGACCTCCCTTAATATTTTATTTGTAGACTGCCGTTTCTCGGCCCCATAAATCGTACCATGGTCCAAATGTATGACCTTCTTCGGGAAGTTCATTCCCATCCGCTGTTCGTTTCAATAGCTTCGTTCGCGGTAGTAACTGCGGTCTTTGTTGTTTCAATGCCTCATTAAATTTCTGGTCATCAGATTCGCTATACGGACCCTCACTCCTACGATCTATGAATCGTCTTGCTTCCAATTTAGCTTCTTCCAGACGCATTTTTGATTTTTCTGCCTTCTTTGAATCAGTTTCATAGTCGTAACGAGATACCCGGCGCTCTTGGTCACTGAAATATGATATGTTTGACTCATAATATCTTTCATCTCTACGTCCATTGTACGGTAATGTACTATCATCATAGCTCCTATTAGCTCTGCTTTTACTCCTGGGATCGCTCCTCGTCTTTGTTTCGGAAAATTCTTTTCTCATTTGGCGTCTGTCTAATGAGTAGTCAATCCTTGGCTCTCTGTTTTCGTACGGTCTAACGTCTTTTTTGGGTGACCTGGCCTCCACTTGAGGGTAATCCTTTTTGTAGTTCTTTCCATTTTCCATGGTGTTTTGTTGGCGATTCTTTTCTTCTTTACCCGAACGCTTTTTATATCCTTTAAGAGTTCCTTCATCATGTCCATTATAACCATCATCTTCATGAATTTCGTTATTGTTACGTTCAGTTGGAATTCCATAGCGATCAGTTTGTTGTTCATCTTTGTACTTCAATGTTTCAGATGAAGCCGAAAACGTTTTGATTTCTTTAGAATTGTCTTTGAAAGTCTTAAACTCCATAACCTTAGGAGGACTTCGTTCATGTGACAGTTTTTTTACCTTTTCGGAAGACAGGGTAGCACGCACATGTGGTTTTATGGGAGTAACTTCAATTTCTTCAAACTCTGGCATATAAGCATTTTCTTTTCGTTTCTTTACTTCATTTTCTAACATTTGTGCCTGTCTACGTCTGTCAAGTTCTTGTTGCTTCCTTGAAGTCATATGATCATCAACGATAATGCAGTCGTAAGGATCAGTACTTGAAGCAACAGAATTAACATCAGAACTGCTATCGTTATCATATCTTTGTAAAATTTCTCTGCGTTTAACTGTTTTCATCACAAAACCTTCTCCATTTTCGTCATTATAAAAACTGTTTTCGAAATTTGTTTTGATGGTACTAGTATTGGTTAAATCAGAATGCCTAGATTCATTTCTAGGTACAAAATCTTCTTGTTTTTCTTCAACAATAGATTTTTCAGACATGCTTTTTTTGTTCATGACTTTATTTTGCTGTTGTTGGTTGTAATTTTCATTTCCTTTCCTAACCTTTTCAGAAGTTTCCTCATTTTGGATTGATCCTAAACTTCTAGCTTGACGCATTCCATTAACAGTTTTGATTTCTTTCCTGTCAATAGTTTCCTTTGTTCGTGACTGAACGTTTTCTGGTGGAGAAGATTTCTCTGGACTAGTTGGGTTACGTATTTCAGGTATATCTGGCGCAGGCCTAAGTTCTTTTTTCATCTTCACAAATAGCTTCTTTTTATATTCAGGTACAGTATCCACAATATCACGATGCTGCCAAAGTGACATTCCTTCCATTATTTCTTCAGAGGTTGTTCGACCAAACTTCCAAAATGATTTTGTTCTTTTGACTTTCTGTGAATCTTTATCCATATCTAGCATGTTGCGAAGAATCAATTGTTGATCATCAGTAAGATATCCATTAGTCTGTTGACTATTTGGTTTTGTTCCACGTCTTAAACTCTGAGTTTTAAGCATATAAGCTCTGTGTTCGTTGTTTTGTTGGGCGGATTTACTATGAGGAATAATAAAACAAAATAAATACTACAAAATAAATAAACTGAGAAATAGCAAAGCAACATAACAATTAAAGCATTACAAAGAGAAGCGCAATCACAATGATTTTTCGACATTTACCTTATAGGCACACGTAGTCTCTGTGCTTCCTCGTCGCTGTAATCGACATCTGGTTGGGGCGGGGGTTCATTTGAGAAACCTGAATCGTTAGAGCTATGTAGCGATACATTTCCGACAGCACCTACAGCTGACACTACTGTTTTAGCTGGGCCTGCTTTGTTCTGTGTCGCCTGTAAAAAAAAAACTATTAAGTTTTGTTTTAATGATTTTCATCTTATGATATATATTTAATTTATATTTTGCTTCTGTCAACTATCCACTTAGATTATTTTATATTAATTAAACAAAGAAGATAATAAATATTTTAAGCAGAGGAGAATATAAGAATAGGAGAATATAATCAGTGCTTATATAAAACTAACAATTAACTGCTTTAAATTTGCTATGAATTTTTTAGTTTGAAATATCCAGAACAAGCAAGTATTAATATTACATTTCAATGATGTGAATAATGTGACAAAGAAATTCAGATTTGAATACATAAATGGTTGTTTTGTAATGTGCATTTTGCATGCTTATTTCATAGACGCTATTTCATTTTATTTTGTATAGTTTGATTGTTTGATACCGAATATTATTTATATTCAATATCATCACATCACCAGCCCTTTTACGTCCCCACTGCAGGGGCTCAGGCCTTCCTTATGGATGGTTAAGGAGGATGGGCCATGACCCTCCAAGCTGGCCCAATGCGGATTGGAGGGTATTAACGACTGCAAAAACCAACGGCTTAACGTGCCTTCCGAAGCACGGAGTAGTATATATATATATAGTAGTATATATATATATATTTTTTAGGTCACCCATCCCGTGAAATCCCCTTGCGAAAGTTGCTTAACGACTACGATCGCGGGCCGTGGCGCTTATCCACTACGCCACCGAGCTATTCAATATGCAAAAACAATATTAACCATATTATAATTTGTAAATAAGGTGTGTTTTAATTAAATATCAGTTTTGGGATCGACTTTACCTGACGCATGGGAAGTGTCTGAGGTCCAAAGCTACGAGTTTCAATGATAGCATGTGTCGTGAAACTAGCAGCTGATGTAGAATTTTTAATGGCATTTCCAGGGGCTGATGCGGGGGTGGAAGCGTGGAAGGTAGCGCTAGCCGATGAGCTCAGAGCACTTGGCGATGGCGCTGGTAAAGTTGGTGGAAGTCCTGGCGATCCGCTTCCCAGACGACCCTATACATAAATTTAAATCGAATATCGATAATTATTGTTCAATATTAATGTCTATGACAGAACTGTATTAAATATTCATAGCCTATTAAGTAATAGAATAATAAAATTCATTAAAAAAGGTCTTACTTTAGCTATATTATTTAGGAAAGACACATATACTTTTTAGAATTCATTCATTCGGATTTTGTAAGCTGATTAATATTGTCAAAAGTCAATTTTTTATCACGATAAGACATCATCATCAACAATTATCATTTAGAACTAACTATAAACCACAAGTCCATTGCGGTTTCTTGGTTATTGATGACTACATTCCAACGTTGAATTCCTAAAGTCGATGGAGTAATATCATTAGAATATCACCTTGTTCACATGATGAGCGGTGACAGTATCTCCGAACATCCTGGTGGGTGGATGTGAGTGCGCGTGTACCGAGGGTGTGCTCGGCGTGGTCTGTGCGTGGGCGACGGGCGCGGGCGGTGGGCCTTCACTCGGAGTCTGAGCGCAGCTCCAGCGAGCTGGGGAGCTGCCACTATTCAACGTTGGATGTTTTTATAATAATTGGGTGTATTCATGCTTTTCTAACCACCACCAAAATTTGTGAATTAAAATAAGCCCAATTTGTAAATACGGATAAAAACTGTAAGAATAATTTTACCTTCATCTCTGAGTGTCTTATGCCGTTTTCACTAAAGTAGGAGTGGAAGTTGCTCAAATCTGTCGCCTAAATATTTAGGAATCGCTTAGGCGATTCGTAAGATTAGGGGTTTTCTAGTTAAACTATATCTTGTTCTACGTTAGAGAAGACGGGTATTACTTTCTTACATAGACTGTTTACTTATTATTTCGTTCATGGCTGATTTAGTAGTACGGAATTTCAGACTAAATGCATTTAAATAAAAAAAAAACACGAGGTACTTGTTTATAAGTCGTATAAAATTAGAATTACTTATGTTTTCCATCGCTTTTGATAAATACGAAAATGAGTACATACTTACTGTACGGCATTATTATGAAATCCGTAATGTTCCGATTACAGAGGCACAGGATTTTTTTATGGATAGCTCATCACAATTGAAGTTTTTCAAAGTACGGAGAGAATTGATTATTTGTATTCAAAATGTTAAAGATTCTTAAACTTACATAATCTCATCAGTAGGAATTGGTTCTGTATAAGCCAAAGGGAACCATCCAGCTTGGTGCGAGCGCAGGTTCTCTCCGTATTGCCATCCTTTAGTTCTCTCTCCTAATAGCGCGAGCATATCTCCTTGCTGGAAACTGAGCTGATTGTCACCAGCTGCAGCGTAGGCATAGAGGGCACGAGCTAATGGTGGGTCTCGAGTTGTGCACGATGGCGGGGCGAGTGATGAGGGACGAGTAGCAATACGGCTTTCGCTTTCTAAGAGGAAAATATTTAAATTTAAAATAGAATGACCTTTTTTCTATAATATAGGTAAATAGTATTAAAAACAGTAAATATCGTAAAATCTGATATCGTTCAAACTATTCTTGCCATTTACTTCAATTGCACAACTATATATTCTTTGATTTTATTAGAATCTACATTATTTCAAAAGTATTTATCATACTTTTTTTAGAATTAGTCGATGTTCAAAAAGCTTTCTCTACCTGGTTCGTCGGTATGTGAACTGGCTTGCAGATTAAAGTCAGATTTCGCTCTCGATAGTCCTTGGGCAGGTGAGCCCAAATCTCCGATGGACCTGACGTCTAGACATGAGGCATCAACTGAGCGAGTTTTCCTCAAGGCTGAGCCTACAGAAGCACGATCGTCATCATCCCCAGCTCTTGGACTTGCGTATACATCTTCATCAGCCCAAAAGGACACTTGCTGTTCAATGAAAATATTTATTAATTTATTAATAAATATATTGAGACTTGTTATTGCGTTTACACCCACACCCCCGTTTTTAAGATGCGAAACTGGACTTAAGAAATATAAGGCAGTACAATTTATGATTTGATCAAGGGAATTTGCAGCCATTTGGAGGCCCCCAGGTTAAAACAACCTCCACCCTTCCCCTCCCTTAGGCCGCCACTGTTAACCACTTTAACACAAGGTTTAACTCCAATGCTTCTGCATCATAACAATGGCTTGTTTCAAAGAATCAATACAAAATATAACCGATATTGTATAATACAATAGAAAACCTATTTTATCTTGTACATAACCATAACAGTTGTACGACCTCAATGACTTTCCCTACTCTTATTCAGGCAGTACAATTTGATATCGATACAATGTTTCCCTGGCTTTTCGGTAAATATGACATATAATATGGTCCATATACGTTATAAGAAGCAATAAACATAATTTTGCGTTAGTGAAGAAACATTTTATGGGATATCACCGTGGGATACGGAACACGTAAGGGTTGTAAATGTTTTTTTAATGTTATTGTTATACGGAACACGACAAACATACTGTCATAAGTATGCCATTATTTTAATAAAATAAGCACTCAAGACGGTAGTGAGCCAATTAGATCATATTACGGTAATGCAAATTTATCTAAAATAATTTTGCTTTTAAAAAATTGTTGCGCGCCTTCTCGCTTACCCTCATTCTGCTGACGAACATAGCTTCAACGTTAGGGGGTAGATATTCTCTAGTTCTTGATACTTCAAGCCATTCTTCTAAGCCAGTATTGTAGGCAGCCGCACCGGCACTGTGGTAAGCTAGCCAGTGCTTAGCAAGAGAGCACTGTCTTTCAAGAACGAAACCATAACGACGTCGCTCTTGTGTCATTGCCTAGGACAAAATCAAACAAATATATTCTAGGACAAAACATTCATTAAGGAACATTTTATGCAGGTGACGCAAAAAATATAATCAGCTCCAACATATAAACTATCAAATAGAACTTTCAGAATAAGGAGGAATTTCATTTTTAAATTCATGAAATTGACTCCAAATAAACTAAATTTACGCAAAAGAATTTTTCATAGAAGCTCAGATTTTTAATAAACAATGAGCTTTTTACTTACATTTTTCAAGCTTTGCTCACAGAACGCATCCAATTTTGTCTTTTCCTCTTCCAATATTTGCATGTTCTGCAAGAAAAAAGTAACGTAAATAAACGGAGGCTATACGTATTACAGAATACCGAAAACGGAACCGAAGGACGGCGAATCGTAATATAAACAAAAACAAAAGGGATTTTGTTGACACTGGATTAATTTACATCGAGATCCAATCTCATTTCTCTGTCTTCTTTATCATTATTGTACTATATAGTTATATATAACGCGAGGACGTTAAAAACTTTTTCAACGAATATTTGTGCGTGCTCATTTTATATAACGGTGAATATTTTTTTCAGAAAGCTATTGTTTTCGGCTCTTCCACGAGAATGAGCAGATAAACTTTATTGGTAACAAAGAATTATTCGGAAACATTTGTCAACTGCGTTTGTCCATTATGTAAATAACGTATCTATAATTTTTAATAGTATTGTTATCTAATACTTGACGCACCGTTACCGAAAACATGAGTGGTAAAAAATTAACTAAAATAAGTTGGATCATGGTTGTAACACTGTAATAAATGACAGCATTTTATACAGTTATAGTCTATAATTAAATGGTGAATTAATTTTTAACACTTGGGTTATCAAGAACAACGGCTGTTCTCATCTGGAACAGATCATCACTACACACTATAAAAATGTATAATTGGACTTCTTTACTTAATTAAACACAATCAATTAATTTCATTCCTATGCCATCGCAGTTCCAATGGACATGTTTTTAATGAGTCCTCGATATTTCGACACTGTTGCTAATGCAAACGAAAGAAGGGTAAATTCTAGCATTCCCGTCACCAGTTATAACTTTTAAGTTCTAAAAAGTAATCAGTCTCAGGTGCTCGAGTCGGAATTCGAACTTCTTTATAGATAATTAGTTCCTTTCGCAATGCAGGGGTTATAATCTAGTAACCAATTTTCGGTATATTGTCATTCTCATCAGGCTCTGTCCTACTTTATGTCATTAAAAATGTGTAATTGAGAGCAGGATAGACGATGACATAGACCATGAAATATCAAATATCGATTTTAAGATTACAGAGAGATCCTGGCGATTGTAATCAATTAATCTTAGACCAAACGAGACTGACGAATTTTTTGAGCAGTTGTTACTTACGTTACTAGTGAGGGTATTCTATTGTTTTTAAGATAATATATATAAATATCAATTTATTATTGTAAACGCAAAATTGATCAAATTTATGAATATGTATTATACCTTCATTTCCTTGTCCATAGCGGATCCAACTTTGGTGACATTAGTTTTCTTCTTTCGTTGTTTTTTTATTGTGGCAGCTGCTTTGCTGTAGCTCTCTGAACGCAGCTTATGTTGTTGCAAAAACCGTTTTTGTTCAGACTAAAATAATATTAGAATTTTTTAAAAAATATCATGATTTAGATAAGCTGAGAGAAAGTTAATGAGTACATTACATTTTTATTATTTTTACGTTAATTTAACTAAAACATCCTTTAGTAAAATATATTGTTGGTAAAATTCAAAGACGAAAAAGTGGTTGAGTGTTGAACAACTCTAAAGATCAAGAAGTATAACGGCCAAATTATCTTTGGCAGATTTTTTTTTTATATTCAATGGATGTTTTAAGAAAATTTAAATTGAGACCTTAATATTATTTCCTCGTTTATTTATTTCTTTCATCCTTCAATGGATTGATAAATACTGTGATGAAACGAGTCGTGGTTTTTGTGTCGAAAAATATCTACTTCGATAATTTTTTTGATAATCGCTCCGGATACTAAGCTTATTTGACCTGAGAGATTACACCCTGTTAGAAATTAATCCATAGAAATAAATGGATGGCTCACGCAAAAGATTATAAAAGGAAAATATCATATTTACCCACCTGCACTACTTTTGTATCTTTCTCCAGATTAGTTTCCAGGGGTACCAGTAAGTCCACGTAAAATGCCTTTAGCTGAAAATCAAACATTGATATAATACGATTTCGTAGTAAAATGGATCATATTTTTCTAGGATAACTTATTATTTAAATAGAACTACGTATGTAAGAAATTAAATATGCATGTGTTTTAAATAGATACCTTATTTAGTGATTAGTTTGAATTTTACATTTGAACGCACGTTTTGAAAGTCACATTGCCGTTATAAGAATTAACACCTGGGTCTTACTTCCTTTTAAATATGGAGATCGGCAAAGCTCGAATAGAACTGCATACTTGATATATGCACCAATTAAAGCATTACTACTCTTTTCTTTCTAAACTTTGAACGAGTGAACATTTTAATTTCTTTTCGTTCAAACATACAATGAATGCTCATTAATTATGTTTACAAAGAAAATTATTAATCAAGCACTTTATGATACTCTTACTGAATTTAAATATAACGTACTTACAATATTCATTTGTTGATCTTGAATTTCCCGGTAGACTTCCACCACTTTCATCAGGGCAGTCCCTTTAATAGATTATTCTAATTAGGAGTAGGACTTTTATAGAATAGTCTTCCTGTTGTCGAATACGGATACAAAGCCATCTTTACACGACTTCCAAAGAAAGGAGTGTATTGTGTTTACGGTTAATATATGTATGTGAGTCTCTATATTCCACCATTACTTTAGAAAGATTTAATGTATAAGGTATCATTAGAAACGATACATTATCCCGAGTGACACTATCTATATATTTTTTGAATATCTCAAATGTGTGCATGTATGATACCATTAAAATATATTAAGAAATGCTTTTCTTTAATTATAGCAGTATGAATATCAAATTATAGGTCTTGAAGAAAATATATACTTTACATACATTTACTGGTCTCTACAAGGAATTAAATAAAAATGAATAATTAAAAAAACATAATTAACAAAATCGAACTAAAAATATAAAAAACAAGTTCGATATTGACAGTCGTATTTTTTTTATTTTTTAAGTTATACCTCGATCTTTTATAGAAATTATTGTGTTTGAACTAAGATTATTAAAATTTACTATATTTCAAAGAAAATTTCTTAACAATACACATTCTTTGGTTTATTCAAAATTCTTTGATTGATTAGAGTTTTTTTTTCCATAATGTTTTAACTCAAGCATTTACAACAACAGACAATAACGAACGTAATTGGAGTTTTTATTTATTTCCTGCTTCAGAGAATTTAATGGCACTAAGAGGATTATGATTCGAAGAGGTCTTACCAACTAAGATGAACAAGAATTGGCAATAATTCGATGGAAAACTATATTTTGATATTACATTTATCAAATAATGATAAAATGTAAGAAGCTTTTGCTTTGTTTAATATAAACAACTTTTTGTTAATGACAAATTTATGATTTTGATGCAGATTCAGCTACACCGTAGTTATAAATTCTTTGTATTTTTGTTCCATTCGATCAAAAAACTTTAATTTCAAAAATTATAAACTATACCAATGTCGGCGCATCCTCCCCATGTGCCCTGCTGTGCCTGTCTTCCAAGCTTTCCAACAGCATCTACATAGAGTCGAGAAGCTGCAGCAGCTCCTACAAAAACAAACATAAATTCAACCATTATTATCATCCTTATTATGTTATTCTTATTATATATTTATCCAAATGTTAATACTCAGTGTTAATACTCCAACACTGCAGCGTCGATGCTATGAATATTTATATTTCCTTTACTTTGAATTGATTGTGTTACGACATAATTAAGAGTATAAAATGAAATCTAGGGATTGAACGGTTCTGTAACTATATAAAACAACAGAATATTGATTCATTCACAACTTTGCGAATGCAAAAACATCAAATTACCTTTTAATTTAGATAATAAAACCTTATTTGTACTTAAACGATGTAACTTAAAATAATAACATGACACTATGAGCGAAAACTAATTATAATAAACAATAGAGTAGACACTATATAGTTGAATAGTTGAAGCTTAAATTATAAATTATGTAATCTAAGAATTGGTGTTATATACTTTGCAGTTAGACGAGTGTTTGGTAGATATTTTATACAAAACGATTATCCAATGTTACTACAAATCATCATCATCAGCCCACGTCCCCACGGCAGGGGTTCAGACCTTCCTTATGGAAGGTTAAGTAGGAATAGGACATGATCCTCCACGCTGGCTCAATGCGGATTAGAAGGTATTAACGCCTGCAATTGCATCCGGGACCATCAGCTTAATGTGCTTTCCGAAGCACAGAGTAGCTCGAGACAATAATAAGTTTTGGTCACCCGTCCCGTGAATGACCGATTGCAAAAGTTGCTTAACAACAACGATTGCGCGCCGCGGCGCTTATCCACTGCGCCACCGAGCTTAATGATGTAAAGCCTAGATGTATAATTTGGATCTATTATTTTGTATTCTATGAAACTATTCACCTGACACTTTAATTTGATTAATATGGAAACTAGTTGTTGTTTGACTATCTAAATTATTTAGCTTCTAACTTGCAGTTGGTTGATTACTATCCAAGTTTAGGCTAGGCATTCTACCGCTACATAACTAACAAGGTAATTCACTTAGAATTTCCAAGGTTTATTTTTTATCTAAATGTTTAAGCTTAAGTGTGTACTGATTGCTCGGTGGCGTAGTGGATAAACGCCGCGGCCCGCGATTGTTGTCGTTAAGCAACTTTCGCAAGGGTCGGTCACGGGATGGGTGATCAAAAAAAATATTATCTCGAGCTACTTCGTGCTTCGGAAGGCACGTTAAGCCGTTGGTCCCGGCTGCATTTTGCAGTTGTTAATACCCTCCAATCCGCATTGGTCCCGCGTGGAGGGTCATAGTCCATCCTCCTTAACTATCCATAAGGAAAGCCTCAGCTCCTGCAGTGGGGATGTAAAGGGGCTGGTGATGGTGATGATGATGCAACGAATATACCCCGAAAATACTGGAACGATTTTAAAATTTCTTTCACCTACGGGAAGCTACATTATATGTGGTGAATGAACATTGTTAGAACAAAAATTTGGAGTATGAAAACCTCTCAATAGTGAAATAGGTTGGTCATCAAATTAAAACTCAAGCTGTGGTCTGATTATCGTTCTTGGTACAATTATATTTAAGACAAGTATAAAAACGATTACAAAGATATGAACTTATCTTTGAATGATAGATATAATGTTCTTAAAAATTCTTAAAAAGAGTCATTCAAAGGACAATGCCTTGTTTGTATGGGTATTCGTACCAATTTGCGTCAACCTAAATTTACTCTTAACGGATCAATTTTTAATTAACTTTTCAGGTTTTATCACAATATGACCGCATTATTGAGACATTTGAAAAAAAAATTATAAAGACGCTCGTACATTTCATTGATATTTAATTACTTTATATAAAATTGCGTTTAAGGCCACATTTAAGAAGTGAATTTGCACAGTATAGATTACTACACTTGCGTGATAGCACTCACCAGAAGTTTTGTATTCATTTTTAACAAATAAGCAGGCACCATAAACGCGACAGGCGGTGTCGTAAGAAGAGTTCTATCTCAACACAGCAAATCACTTCAGAGTATCTCGATACGCCAGAATATAAAAGTAACTATCTAAATATCGGCATTGGTCCATTGTTTTATTCTTTGAAATATATAGCATTTAGACTATAATGGAGCAAATACAACGATCAACGATGGATCAAGCGACATAAACGTTTAAAGAGTAAAGTATGGGAATAAAAGTCGATATATTGACAGTCTACAGTTCCATTTTTCAATGTCCGTTGAGCTGTTTTATCTAATGAGTAATGGGATAACTAATTTTTTTCCGCCATCTTTCATTCATTTCATTTTACATGAAGAAATTAATTTATTCACTTGACATTGGCAGAATTATGCGAAATGCGCAGATAAGTCATTAATAAAAAAAATACCATTGAATAATAATCATTTTACACTATAATTATGCATTTGTGAACTTAGACAGTAACTAAAGGCGATATTTAGATCATTGTTACGAAAAGAAGATCAATTGTATAAGGAACGTTATTTTTCGGATATGCATTGTTTACGGAAATAGGCAAATTGTTAATATTTTATATTAACTTTTAATGAAGTTGAAAATATGACTTAAAACCAGTGGTAAATACATATAAATAAAACATTATTTTTAGTAATAGTGTACCTGTGACGGATATGGTACGGTTAATGCAATATCCTTTGCCAATTCCAAAACATTTTCCTTGGATTGAGGGTGAGGAGTCGTCAGTTCGAGTAGGAATTGGGTACATGCGATGGTCTTTATCAAAAATTTTCAAGAGAGATATAATGTCCTATATATATTACTAATGAATTGCTCTAAATATTTAACATATTGCTATTAAAAGCCTTTTTTATAGAAGTGTTTTTTTTCGTCTGTCGCCACTTTTAGAGTTATCTGTGGCATTAAAGTGTTGTAAAATGAAACAAATTAACCGCAAAGTAGCCCCAAAATAAAGTAGAAACAACCTCCCACAGCCATACATCGTGCGCAATGCCCAAGTTTATTGCTACTAGAGCTTCGGGCATAATACTGTAGATAAGCCGACAGAGACAATTTGGCACAAACTACGCCCCAGTTCTGTAGCCAAGTAAGCGTAGAACTCTGAGGTTTTGCATATAGATGTGCCCATTTTGCTTACACTACATAAATTAATTGACTACGCTTCACCAAACACACTTCGCTTTTCATTAATATTTGGACATAAGACGGATTTCACTTTCTAAAATTATGTTAGTATAAGAATTACTTGCAATTTATAACTTCCGCTTATATATCTTCTATTATAAGTAACAAAATAGTCATGATATTGAAATCAAATATATCAGTCTTGGAACACTTACCGTGTAACGCTTTCAAGTATGCCTTCCCAGCTGTTATCATTTGCCGGGCACCCGGATTAAATTTGTCCAGGATATTCTGCAACAATAAGAAATAAATTCAAAGACTCGCTTTTTCCCCATTAATTTATTCATAAACAGGCGCGGTCGATCAATCAGCAGGTCTATTGTTAAAGTACTTTCATTTTTAAAGAAACGGTCAGTGGATGCTGTTACGAAATGTAATTTGGTTCGGTAATTGATTTTGGGTGTTGATAAATGTTGTTTATATGCAATAGCAGAAAATGAGGGCTTTGACTGTAAATAGAGTGCTGGTGGAATGTGGCCTTTCAAGGATGCTGCGCCGGCGGCGGCGGGCGAGGTGTGGCCGACTTGCGGTGGCAACATTCCGTTGCAAATGTTTCTGAAGTAACTTCTTCGCTATCCTACGTATTAATTGCGACTTTATTTATTAGTGACCTTTAATGAAAATAATACTTTTAGTAGAATACATATGCTTTAATGATTAGTTTTATTAGATCACAAGTTGTTACCAACGGCGTAAAGGCTGCCTGTAACATTATAGAAAAGAGCTCCTAAAAGACAGACAAACAAACATATTTATTCTCTCTAAATCAAATACTGACTTAGCTAAAAATTTGTACAATTTGAAATTTAATCTTTAAGTTATTTTAGCTGACGTTAGTACATTCATCGCACTGACGGATCATATGTCGAGTGTGCAAGGTTAAAGGTTATTATTTCATATTTAGTCAGTACTAAGTAATTATCCTATTCGATCAATAGGAAGGGTCTGAGCCCCAGCAGTGAGGCATTATAGGCTGGTAATGATTAATGACTAATGACATTCAAAGATGGATGATGCGCCACAGATTATGCATATACAGTATTATTAATAAACAAAGTTGAGCATTGGAATAAATTTACACTGAGACTACTTATATTAATAAAACTCATTAAAATTAATATTATTATCAAAGGTTAATCTAGTACAAGGTTCTACGGTAGTAATATTTACTCCTAGAAGGTAGTAGGTTTGCTTATTTTCTGTATAATATGAATTTAGACAAATACTAAAATTGTAATTATAGCGAAAATTTACTCTGACGCTATACCTTGTTTATTAATAGCCCTGTTAGAATTTAATTCTCAATTTTGCTAAATTTCGAGATAGGTCCGTGTTTGATGAAGCATATGATGGAGAAATTAAGTAAAATTTGATTATGTAAATGATTATCATCCTAATTCTACCTTTGAATATCCGAGTTTTTCGCATTTATCAATGTAAAATACAATTAAAAGATAAACGTAATATGCTTTAAATATGTATGAAGAGCGCATCTCACTTATAGTAACACTGAATTTAACATTACGGTCTGTTGCCATTCTGTCGGAGTTTGTTGGGGTGCATTAAGAGCGTGGAAGAAAATGGCGTAACATTGAGCGTCCGTCCTAATCCCCGGATTATTGGAACATTACAAAAAGCCGATGCATTCCGCTGGGTCCAATATCGGCCGGCTCTTCTACTACGTGCTAATGTGGTTTATGATCGAAACATTATATGGAAAAAATCATATTAGGATAGTTGTTACATGATCGCATATGGCAATGTTTTGGCTTTAGGTAACGACAATGTAAAACATCTTACATGGTAAAATATGTGTTGTATAATTATTTATACGTATTAGTTTTTAATAAAACATACAGAACAGAATTCTATTGGATGTTTACAGTTTTTTGGTGGCAAGTTAAACGAATTATAAAGCTTTGCTTACTTATGTATAGATACGCTGACATATCGGGGTGGGTGATCAGGGATAAGAAATGCGTATAAAATGATGTGTATATTTTTGTTGTTATTTAATATACCTACAAGATGCTAATATATCGTAGGAAACATGTTGTTTATCTGATTAGAAATAAACTATCTAGTATATATATAGTTCTGCAATTACTTGGTGTTGTTTACAAATTTTATTTCAGTCACAAATATTTATCACATTACTTAGTTATCATTTTAATATTTTTAAATTATTAAAAGTAACCAGTCAATAACAAGCTTGTTATTTAACTAATGAAAAAGTAAAAAAAAAAAATTAATTCGATTAGAACGTCTAAGTGCGAAAAATTGGAGCCCCTAACCTAACCTTGCTCTTTACGTATGATTACAGAAAAAAATATTAGAAGTCTATTGTATTTAAAATTTAATATTTTTGTGGAACACTGCGATCTAGGCCGACTCGCTCTTGACCTTTCTTTATAAAAACACATTTGAGGCGGTCATCTAATTTCTTAAGATATGATCCGGAGATAATTATGTAAGATTTATAAATTATCTGGATATTACAAAAAATAGTATAATTCTGATATACGCGAAAAAAATCTCCAAAGAGATAAACATGAATTGCAAATCATTGAAATTATTACGTTTGTGCCAACTAGTTCGTGTCGGATTGATCGGTGATTTCATCGTCCACCTTCATCTGACATTCACACGAACAATATAAACAAATAGCCTTAAGATACTTGTAATATGCGGTATCATGGCAATCGTACTGTTCCATTATCTTGGATAAGCACACTAATATTTTAAGAATGACATGTTTCAACCTTACAAGTTTGAAATATAAATACTTAAATAACTTTACACTTTAACATGAAACTTGACATTGCATATTCAAAAGTCAAAAGTCACAATAATGTTTATTGGAATAGACTTATTAAAAGTTGTTTGAATAACGACATTTACAAAAGTTCACCAAATCAATTTTATAAATATAAATTAATTATTACATAATTAATTAGTTTATTACATAAGTTACTTTACTTTAAATATCAAATCAACAACCTAGAATAAAAGTTATCACAATAAGTAACAGAATAATTTTGAAATATAACAACAAGAAATGATATACTAAAATGGCTTGAATACATTAAGAATAAGTGCTAATGCAGTACCTAATGTTTAAAAAAAACGTTTTGATCTTTTGAATAAGCTGTCAGTTTCGTCTGACGCACACAATACCGGATGGTCGAAATACATAAAAGGAGTGGGAAGAAGGCAATTTTTCACGAGATTCAGACGTACCTTTTTAAAATACAGAACAGAACTGGCTGCGTCGCGGCCCTACGCTTATTGCTCGCGTCGAGCGCGTAAATCTTTCGGGAGGGTGGTACGTACCAAGGGTGAAAATAGATACATACTTACAAATAGCAAGAAGGAATGAGATAAAGAACTGCATAAAAACGATGAAGCAAGACAAGTGTATGTAATATGACATTAGTCATTACTTCATAGTAATTCTTAACTCCTTAGGCACAAAGATTGACGATAGAATGTTGTATTATGCAATTCAATGTTATGATGGAACACCGTTTGGTTTTTAGTAATAAAATTGTCTTATGTTAAATACCTTGGCAGTTACAATATTATCTGATTTACTAATATATTTACGTATTAGTTAAAAGTAGCACTTTATAAAGTGTTGATAAAATATTCTGTGAGGGGTAAATCATCAAGACTATCAGTGAGTCTTTTCATACTTAGCTGAGACTTCAATGTGATTAAAAGCAGTTCTGAAACTTTGAGGTTTGTATACAAGTGCACGCATATCAACTCTCGTTTCTATGCTTTTACATAGAAACGAGAGACACTATGCCTAAACCGCGTGCGTTTATTGTGCGTTCTCATCCTATGTTAATAGTCATAATCGGCATGAAATATATCACAGCTACCGATCCAAATACCTCACCCACAAGGCTAAACTCAAACACTATTACAAATCAATTTCAATTTTTAGTTCGATAAAATACAGTAAATGTGTTTTTTCTTTCATCCACCTAATCAAGTAAAACGCTCCGGCGTCATCACAATAGCTCTTCTTTCCTAAACGAATGATATTGTATTCGTAACAGTTCCTAATATAATGTGGGCTTCATCCCTTCCTCTTTATTTGTGTGGCACGTACAGAACGACATTTGGTATCAAATTGCCTCGGGTAAGCCCACGATGCGACCCCTTTCTCCTAATGTCCTACGCTCACGTATGATTTTTCTGTAGTCACCCGAGAGGATATATCTCGAATATATCATTGAAATTCATAGGAATCCTTAGGATGAACTTTCAATTTGGCAAAGGTTCGTATATACACGTTTATGTAATTTGATCGCTTTAGAATTGGCTTAGTTTCTATAAAATTGTCTTTTCACTGTAAATCTTCTTTGAATCTAAACATAATCATTATACCGACTAGCTGTTTTCCCGAGAATTCATTCGCTTCAATTACAGTCTAAGATATTTCACCCGCATATGATGTAGCTTCCTGTAAGTGAAAAATGATTTTAATATAGTCTAGTAGTTTCAGACCCTATTCAATGCAAGCAAACAATCAAATCATTCCTCTTTACAATATTATTATAGTATAGACTAGTAACTTTTATGAATAAAATCTACATTTGATAAGCTTCCATGGGATCATGGGCATGATATTTTCTGATATCTTCATCAATCAACATTGAATTATACACCTTAAACTTTTTCGTTAATAATTTCACTTAATCATGAAATCGGTATTAAAATTCATGTAGTTTTTGAGTATACGTGTAGCGCACTCAGCATTTTGTTTAAAAATTACGATAATTGTAGTGACCAAATCACTTCATAGTATAAAACAAAGTCGCTTTCTCTGTCCCTTTATCTCTATGTATGCTTAAATCTTTAAAACTACTCAACGGATTTTGATGCGGTTATTTTTTCGTAGATAAGTGATTCAAATGGAAGGTTTTTATTTATAATACAATACCACGCGGGCGAAGCCGCTGGCGGAAAGCTAGTAGTTGTATATCATAATTTAGGGTCACTTTAATAGAATATAAATACTTTTTTGTTGACTATAAATACAACATTTTGCTGGAACTTTAAAATACAATTTATAGTTCCAGCAAAATGTTGTTAAAAAAAGTCGTATTCATTTTTTATGAGCTGACTTTAAAACCCAAATTCCCTCACTGTGGGTTGTGTTTACGTTAGACACTTGTTGCCTTTAGACGAGACACAACATGACAATGTCGTTTACAAGT